TGGCCAAATGTCACAGGTGGCTAGCTCTGAGACGTCCAGGAGACAGGCTTCTTCTGCTGTTAAATGCCTAAAAAAGACAATGATGATGATTATACTTCCAGTTTTTGAGTAAGTTAAAGCTTAAACAAACCAAATTACATTTTAAAAAGTGATTCTGAAATACATACCCTTAGAGCCATGGGTATGCATGCACGTTGTTAGGTACAAAAAGTGAAAGGAATCATAATTTCATGAGTAGCTGAGTGATGTTATACCCAGGAAAAGAAAATTATCCCCTGTGTGACCAAAACTCCCAAGTTGTGCTTTTCTTTCTGTGTGGTTGGACTATTTAATATTATAGTGACTTACAAGGCTGCGAGTTGGGCTGAGAGAGCGAGAGCGCACAGGGCTGGTACTACTGCTTCTGCTGCGGCTTCGGCTCCACTGCAAAAACAGAAAAACCACCAGTATGCACACGAGCTTTGTATGCATCTTCGTGTCCTCATGTACCCTGTTAAATAACATCCAGTAATTGTGATATATTTAAACATTAAAAAACCAATACCAGAGCACCACTTCTAGTCACAGCCTCGCCCTTCACTATTACAGTGTTTCCTTCCATTAAGGCTGGCCACACATGGTACATCACCAGAGGAGCAGTGAACTCAGAGTCGTAGCTGCGCCGATACCTTAAAGGAAAGAGACAGGGGAGAGTTGGAAGTGTGCATCTAAGTGTTGTGGGTGACATCTACTGGTAGAGGCTTTCAGTGACAGGCTGAAGTTCAAGGAGTGATATTCTGTAGTGACTGTTTGCATCATGGAAAACATGTTACTTAAAACTTTCCCTTTAAAAAATGAACAAATGACTGCTGGGTGTACAAAAACAGGACTGACTTGATGTCATTGTATAGTTCTCCATCAGTGGCAAAGCCCAAGTCCAGTGGAGGGTCCAGTGTCTGCATGGCGAAGGCCACTCTGCATGCCTCTCTGATCAACGAACTGATGAGGACAAAGTCCACCTCTGGCGGGAAGGAGATCCGAGGGTTCACATTCATAGCATTGATGACATCCTGCAGAGATGAAAGACGATCATGGTTTCCCTCAGAACTACAGCATTTTGTTCATGAGTGTTGCACAGCACACATGAGACGCATCATCCTACATTGACGCTGGTCTGAACATCATAAAGGTCCAGGTTTCTGACGATGTAGTCCACAGCTGCATCTTCTAAACTTTCCGGCCCAAAGTGAGATGTGGACAGTGTCTTTCTGACTCGTAGCCTGAACTGACGGTAAGCCAGTTTTGCTGTCTTGAAGGATTCCTATAACAGGAAAGCAGGCAATACATACATTTCCATGAATCGCAGCAGACAGCAGATCAAATGATCAGCTCTGTGTACACACAGCTCTAAAATAGCTGCAGCCATACCACAACTGCAATAAAGATTATTCTCTGGACCATCTCCAAGTCAGAAATGTAGCGGCGAAGCAGGGCCTGGGCATCCAGACGCTCCACAGCATATAGGTCATTGAAGCGCGACACAAGGCGGGCGTGGCGGGAGGAGTTAGTGAGCTGGGCTCGGGTGGGTGACTCACTCCTTCCGGGGCTGGAAGAGCGGTTGTGCCTGGACAAAGGGCTCGGAGAACGACTCCTCACCAACCTGAGAGACAGAAAAAATCTAACATATTAATTATTTAAGACGCTGAACGGTGTCAGTGTGTGAGCGTGTAATGTTTGTGTGTGTACCTCGCTTGCAGCATGGCTTTCTCTGTGCTCAGGTAAGACACTTCGTCTCTCAACAGGCGAATCTGCCGCTCATAGTCATCGAGAGCTTCCAGCTTTCTCTTATAAATGTCCACCTGCTCATGTGCGGATCTCAAACTGAAGCACAGACACACTTCACATTAACAGAAAAACTCATACGTGCATATTAAAACAAGTAAATCATCTACATCACCTACTCAGCTTTCAGTTGTAATATTTCATCTTCAGTGGCCAGAAAGGTGGTTGTAGACTTGCTCTTTGTCTCATCCAGTTCCTTCTGAGCATCAAGCAGCCTGTTTAAACAGATCGGTACCTGTATTTACTGACCAAAGTGTAGTTAAATATGAGCCATTGAAGCTGAGGTAAGAAGGTCTGACAGTTTTTTTTAATCTATAATTTAGACTCACTCTGCTCTGACTGACTCCAGCTGTAGCCGAGCGGAGCACAGCTGAGTCTCCAGCTTCTGCAAGTCATTCTCATGGGAGGCAGAGAGCTCCCTGATCTTTCTGTCCTTCTCTGCTGAATCCTAACATTTAAAAATGATGATATATATGTCATATATATGAACACTCTGACAGATTTTCTGGTTTACTGATAGATGGAGTCACCTGGATGAGCTGTAGACTGGTGTCATCACTGACTGAAGGCCTCGCCATTGAGAAACAGGATCCGAGCCATGGTAGTAGTCGTGTTTTCAGAGTGTCCACTCCGGCATAGTGTCCACCTGATTAGTGACAAAATGTTAGAACCTGTGCTCAATAAAATAAACATAAATAAACTGATGAAGCTTGTACCTTCTGCAGCTGTAAGGTTGAGGATGGCAAACAGTTGGCCCTGGATTTTGGCGGTGATTTCAATCAGCTCACAACATCTGTTCAGATTCTGGTCACAAGAAATCACCTTGGAGGGTTAAAAAAAAGGAAACAAATTTATTTTTCCATTATCTTAACCACTTATCCATCATAGTCACATGGAGCCTTCCCCAGCTGTCACAGTGCCAGAGGTAGAGTACACGCTGTCTAGTACAAAGAAACAGACAACGATTCACTTAAAGCTTATTTAGAATCACAGATTAAACTAACATATATGTTTTAGAACTGTAGGTGGGAAAATTGCATTTGATAAAAACTGCTTAAAAAGTTTGCAGACTCTGACACAAAACTAGGGTTTTAAAACAATTGAAAAATAGCATTTCCCTGTGAATGTTATGAATGTTATTGTCCACGTTTATATAGTCGAAGGTATTGCCCTGTTCTCCCATAATTTCATTTCTTAAGCTTCACTTTTCCTGACAGAAGGTTACAGGAAAGATTTATTCACAATTTAGCCAAGCAAAAAGTAGCTTAGCAAAAAAACTCCATTGTTTTATGCCGTGTACCTATTTATTATATTAAATTTATTTAAACAATATTTAGTTTAGGAGGTTTGTTAGGTCTGTTAGAGTTTCTTTAAAAAAAATCAATATATATAATCAATTAATCGATATAGTACTATATTGTTATATTATATATATTATGATGGTTATTTCTTTATTACTTACTTATTACTCATTTTTACTTATTAGTTTCTTATTAGCTTTATTTCGTATTAGCTGTAAACACTCGAAGGCATTTGATGCCTACGTTTGAAGTTATTGCCTCTACAGGAAGAAAGAGGAAGTGAACCATCTCAACCTGAGGCAAATATCTTTGGAGCTGTCTAAAAGTACCCATGGCAACCGGCGTCCATACCAACCAAACTCCACTGGGAAATCAAATCTAAACAAATGCATTCCTTTGCTGTATTTTTTAAAATGATTTAAAGCGTTTCCAAACTGCCTGTAACAGTTTCATTTATGATTATACAAAACAAATGAAAACAAATGAAAATCACAGGTTTAACGAATAAAAATCAGTAATGGACGAGAGCAGACAAACCTATTTGTCATGTTCTGAAGACGAGGATGCTCATAATATATCTGAAACCCTTTGGCTAAAAGGTTCAACTGTATGCAAATATACCAATTCAGTGGATAGTGATCATGGAAATAGGACTGGCTAACACGGATGAAGTTGTGTGGTCAGATTTAGGTCAATCATGACTTATTGATGAACTTACATGGTAGTCCTTGTGCCAACTCTCAAGCTTGTCCTGTAAGACGCTGAATGAAGATGTGTTGGTCAATCTCCTTAAAGTGTCAGCCATGTCGATCCACAATCCTCGGGAGGTTTTAAAAATCCCCAGGAGGAGGCCTGCAGCAGTAGCAGCAGGCGGAGGGGGGTACGTCTTAACGAGGAGTGTAGTAAAAATTCCTGGACCGGCAGCTTTCTGCACCTGCGACACGAATGCCAAGCGCCGCCTTCAGTTGTGGAAACCGAGTGAGGAGACGACGGGAGCAACGAACGCAGGGTTTAAATAAATTACTCCCGTCTCAGTCAGGCCTCTGCAGACTGTGGTCTCCCCCCAGATGTAAATACGATCGTAATGACATCCTGTTAAACGAAACCAATACCGAGGGAGTTAACTAACCCCCCTTGGGGTCAGGTGCTGCTCGAGTGGCGGTGTTGGGTCAAATCCGATTATACGATAATATGACATACTAAATTAAATGTGCAGTTCATTGTTGTATCTAAAATAATAACTGGAATAGTTATGTGTGTTGTACTTATGTATTGTAATCCAGATCAAATTTAGCAATCATTTCAATTAATGCCTTTAAATACGTTATCCTAAATATGACTTTTTGAGTGTATGATCACAATTGTATCACAATTTTTGTGATAAAAAATGATCACTATGCTATGTACAGCTATGAAATATATATCATTAATAGTAATGTTATTACTATCTATCTATCTATCTATCTATCTATCTATCTATCTATCTATCTATCTATCTATCTATCTATCATCATCATCATCATCATCATCATCATCATCATTATTATTATTATTATTATTATTATTATTATTATTATTTAAGAATCGTGTCCGCTGCTGACAGTTCACCTGTGGAAAATATGAATGGACCGTTTCTTCTATTTTAGGATTTTTCTGTCATTGGCTGGCTGAGTTTGGAATATGCCATTTTTCAATGTCATCAAAAAAATTTTGATAGATTTTTATTTATTTATCTGTTTTTTATATTTATTGTGTATGTATTTGTTTTCTATAGTCAAGTCATATTCAACTACCATTCAGTCCACAACTAAAAACATAATCATTATGGAGTACTGTCCCCTTTATCTGTGAAAAGTGGTTTGCTCCGAACTCTCAGCAAGCAGAAGAGGGAGGGTCAACATGGCGTCTGAACAGGTCCGTTATGTTCCGTATTTGTTGTTATTCTTGCGTTTTTCTCCGCCTTTTTTGCATTTAGTTAACGGAACACTTATATATATGTTTCTAAATAATACACAATATAAACTGGATTAATTTTTTTTTTTTTAAAAAGCATACTGGGCTTTTGTCTGGGCTCTATCGGAATATCAGTGTAACAGAAAACATTAGTGGCCTCTGCTATGGGTAGCGAAAGCGTCATATGGAAATAAATAAAAATCTTATTCTTTTACTAGACCTGCTGTTTGACAGCGAATTTATTACAACACTATGAAGAGAATAAAACTATAGCTGTGTAATATTGATACAGCGGAGAGCAGGTTATTTCCATTTTGCTGCCAAAATGAGTACAGTTTATTTTTAGTTATGGCCAGCGACAGGCTGTCGCGGGTATTTAACAGATGCAGAGAGGACATTGAAAACAGGGAGGAACTAAAAACTTTAATTTAAAACTAAAAAGAAAGTAGAGGCGATTCAAAAAGAAAAGAAAGTCGAGAAAATACAACAGTTGGTGCGTAAACGTGAGATTCTGGGTAAACCAATCTCAATAATCAATATGTGCTCTAAAGCTATAAAATTAGGCTTATGAGTGGATACTCTCAAATACACCCTAACAACTGTGTAATTACATTGTAAAAAGAGGAAAGGTTGTTTTTACTTTCCATTAAAACAACATGAAGGTGTTAATTAATTTAAAAATGCATGCATGTAGCTTTCATTTCTTTCTCCGTTAAAATACTCATAGGTCTTCTTATTTATAAGTTCTTACAGTATAATTAGTTTCTCTAATTGTTACTACCATTTCTTGCTATAACTACATTTTAAGTGTCTACGTTTAGAAACAGTAGGTACTTCAAGTAATTCAGTAGAGTTACGTGGTAAATGTGGGACAGTTACACCATAGATTACAGGTTTTATTATCTGTTATTACTTGTTATTAAGACTGTAAGCATTAGACCTCAGAGTTTGTTTTCTGGCTTCTAGGAAAGCTCCAATGGGCCAGTGAAGAAGTCCATGCGAGAAAAAGCCATAGAACGCCGTACTATCAACAAGGAGCACAACAGTAATTTCAAAGCAGGCTATGTACCCATAGAGGAAGAGCGTCTTCATAAGACAGGGCTAAGAGGACGCAAAGGAAACATGGCTGTGTGCATCATTATCATCCTCTTCCTCCTCGCCTTAATTAATTTAATTGTGAGTACCTAAAACATCAGTGTATTTGTCTGTATGTTGCTTTTTTTTAGTGTGTGATCTGTATATTTTGTGCATGCTGTCGCCTCACAGATCACATTGGTTATATGGACAGTGATCCGCATCGGTCCGAATGGCTGCGACAGTATGGAGTTCCATGAGAGTGGCCTGCTGCGCTTCAAACAGAAAGCAGACATGGGTATTGTCCACCCGCTGCACAAGAGCACAGTAGGAGGCCGTAAAGACCAGGATCTGGTCATTGTTGGTAACAACAACCCGGTGAGCAATACAGAGTGTGTTACAGAGTTTAGTAAAAGCTGAGCATCGATAAAAAGACAAGAAAAGCCCATAATGTGCACACATTAAAAAGTCTCCTCTTTTATTTCACATGTGTTGCTACAGGTAGTCTTCCAGCAAGGCACTACAAAGCTGAGCGTAGAAAAGGACAAGACCTCAATCGTCAGTGATGTCGGCATATCCTTCACAGACCCTCGGACCCAGACCACATTCTTCAGCACTGACTTTGAAAACCACGAGTTTCATTTGCCCAAAGGAGTCAAAGTCCTCAGCGTTAAAAAAGCTTCCACAGAAAGGGTGTGTACGGTTTCCAGTAACTCACTGATGGGTGCAATAACAAAGTATTTCATTAGTCCTGTCAGTGTTTTATAACCTGTACCAAACATTAGCTAATAATCCATAAAGGTAAAGCAAAACAGCATATTTACAGAACATGGAAAAGTCCCCATGAAGATGCTGAACTTCATCAGTGTAAACAGAAGAAAGGCTCAGTTATGAATTCATCTTTTAACCTTGTGAAAGTTGTTTTCACAAATCTACTTCAGATCTAAACATTCATAGATGCCACATCATGTGAAAGTTTAAACAAAACTGGACTATTCTAAAGAAATATATTTAAATCTGAAAATCTAGAAAGTCTATGGAGGGATATAAAGTTTACAGTTCACCATGACTCCAGTTTATCAGAGGCTGAGAGAACCTGACAGAAAAAACAGGTGTGCAAAGCTGCTAAACAAAGTTTCAAGAAAATTCGTAACAGAGCTGAATTCCAAGCAGTGGTGCCTTTCAAAAGATTCAGAATAAATAATCACAAACAAATATGTTTGCGACATATTTGTGACGCAGGTTCCAAAAACACAGCTAAAGCTAGAAAAATGTATTTTTTTACTTTTTTCCTAAACTTTCTAAACTTCTAGAATAACATGCAAAAAAAGATTTAATTTATATTTCTTTATTTTCTATGAATTTTTAACTTGAAGATGTCAAAAGATGCATATTTGTTAAATTTAGTAACAATAAACTTTTGTGTACACTTTTGTAAATGATTAAACTTTTGATAAAAATGCCACTAGATCTACAAGAAACTGTCAGTTGACCACAATGAACACAATTGTATTACCACAAGCCAAAAATGGAAAAGTTGCCAGCATCACAGAGGAAGCAAATTTCACTGGCTAACTGCCCAGGTCACACCTCAGGCACATGTGGCTGCGCTGAGCGGGGGGTTCCCTCCTCATCCAGGCTAGCTGGAAAAGGCCCAGCACAGAGTGTGCACATAGTGTGCTATTTATTTTCACATTATACTGCCTAATAAACTGCTTAGTGGAAATACAGTAGCCTTAAGAGATATTTGCAGCCATGCAGCATCACATTTAATAAGTGGAGGAAAAAATATTCGTTAAAAATGTCTTTCACAGTATCGTTTTTATTTGATTTGATTTTTTAACTTTTTTGTTAACAGTCTTGTGTTGCTGTTCATAACATTATATTCTAAACTTCATATTCTCTCTGTGACTTTTAGATCACCAGTAATGCAGCATCTGACCTGAACATTAAAGGAGACTCTGCCATCATTCGTGGTAACGAAGGGGTCAACATCATGGGTCGGACAATCGAGTTCAAAATGGGTGGAAACATTGAGCTCAGGGCTGTGAGTATGGAATTTTTCCTACAATAAAGCCGATCGAGTAAAGGGCCAGAAGATCGATGAGTAATGATGATTTGTCTTCGCAGGAGAACAGCATCGTGCTCAATGGATCGGTCATGTTCAATGCCACGCGTTTTCCTAACTCTGCAGGAGATCTGTATTTCAATGAAGGTCAGGAGAGGTACAAGCTCTGCATGTGTGAAGATGGAACTCTGTTCCGTGTGCGGGTGAAATTTACCAACATGGGCTGCCAGACTTTAGATAACCCATGTAAGAAGGCTCACTAGGACTGGAATCTGCTATTGCATCTCAATCAGTCCACACTGAATTCAGATAAACCACTTTCAAATTTATTTTTGATAGTGTGGAGCTCTAATATATAGGACATTCATAATGGCTTGGGCATAATATCTCTGTGGGTCATGTGTCAAATTCTGTGTTTCTTATTATTTTTGCCACTTGGCCAAAGAAAAAAACTGTAGTATTTTGTTTTTCTGCAGATTTGCCAACTTGAGATGATATCAGTCTATGTTACTTCTATATAGTAGGACATGAAACACTACACGTACAAAGGCTAATGTACACTATGGAGCCCTACTCTCAAAAACTAGATTTAACTCTCTCTGGGAAGCTGGATTTAAGAAATAAATGTTTCAAGTTTACATTTTTTGAAAATGTTTAACGCCATCTGGTGCCAGTATAGAACATGACATCACCAGGGCATTTCATTAGTTTATGTTAGCTAACTAATCACAGAACCAGTAACTCAGGTGATAATAAGGACACTAAAACCAAAAAAAGCAGGGATCAAAGGGGATCACTTTTTTATTGCCCCTGGCTGCAATGATGCATTTTATGTTAAAAAAAACCAAGGAAATGCTGATCAATTTCACTTTTTGTCTCTAAAGCAGTGATTGGTTCTTCGTTAATTGGCTAGCTGCATTGAAACAGGAAAATCCACCTGTTATCTGTAATGTTTGGGTTTGTAAAGCACTTTCTAAATGAGCACTGAGTGGAGTAGAGCTTGTTTGAGTCAAGTAACAGGTTGTTTTACCAGACCAACAAGCTGGTGTTTTTCCTCGTCTGGCCAGATGTACCTAGCAGCGCAATCAGTTAAAGGCCACAACCTGCGATCAAATTTATGCAATAAAATTTATGTATGTTTTTATGTATGTTGTGTTGTAAACTGTTTGGATGTGCATAGGAAAAGAGACTATTTTATTGCATAAATAGTGCTGATTGCATCTTGCAAACATCTGTTTTGCCAGCTGATTGTGCTTCTAGGTACACTCACCTACTGAAGAAACGGTGTGGTATCGGACAGCAGCGTGTCGGTCTGGTGAACCACCTGTCACCTGACTCAAACAGGGTCTCCTCCACACAGTCCTCATTCATAAAGTGCTTTATAAACCTTTGTAAATGAGTGTTGGTCACCTACTGTGCCTAACAGGAGGATTTTACTGTTTCAATGCAGCTAGCCAAACAACAAGGGAACCACTTACTGCTTAAGAGACAGAAAGTGAAACTGAATATAGCTTTGTTTTTGTTTTTTTTGATAAAATTTATTGTTGCAGCCAGGGACAGCACAAAAGTGATACCCTTGGACTGCTTTTTAATTTTAGTGTCCTTATTCTCACCTGAGTTACTGGTTACTAGTTAGCTAACATAAGCTAATGTAAGTCTATGAGCTGCAACCAATAGGGGTGCAACGATACACAAAATTCACGGTTCGGTTCGGTTCGATACTTTGGTGTCACGGTTCGATATTTTTGCGATACAAAAAAAATGTTCATGCCTTTTTAATTTGTCATTTATTAAAATTATAAATATATATTTTAACTCAAAAGTACAGTTTTTAAATTTAATGTTGCTGAAACAACAAAGTAAAAAAAATACATCTATCTGATTGAGGAATCACTCATCTTTGGAAAAGAGAGTTTATTACAGGGAAATGGCTCTTTCCAAAATAAAAACTATACTATACGCTTCTTCTGGGCTATATTCTCAGCAGCATATTAAACATATCAGGTCCCCATAAGGAGAATCATGTGCTAACGGCTGTCTAAATGACTCGAGTAAAGTTTGTAGCATGCGTGCTTGTTGTTTTTGTCTGCTTCCACTTGTCTTTGCACTAGGATGATGTCGGCGTAAATGTGCAGTCATATTCGTTGTGTTCCCACTAGTGCTGTCAGCGTTAATCTCGTTGAACTGACGTTAACGCCACAACACAGCAAATCTCCGTTAACGAGCTACCGCGGATCGCCCCGTGCGTGGGGCTGGACGGCCAACACGTTAACGAGCAAACTGCGCTAACGCACTAGTTCCCACCAATGTAATAGAGCATTGCATGGCACATCAGACATACCGTTTTACTTTTGTCCATGACGCACTTACCTTCAGGGTCATACGTCACATGAGAACCAAAATAGTTCCAAACGCCAGATCTGAATGAGGGTGGGGGAGGTTCAATTTGCCATGTTGCAACGAGAGCTTAACTTCAGTCTCGCTAGCTTGCCCTGCACTCAGTGAATCTGCGTTCGACTACTCCACCTAGGCTGCACTGTCGAGCGCAGATCCACTGAGCGCTCAACACAGACAGCATCGTCAGAAGGAAAGTTGATAAAATAAATTAAAAATTTTGTATTGTTCGATACATATGCGTACCGAATGGTTCAATATCGATACGAGTATTGTTGCACCCCTAGCAACCAACCAACCCGGTGATGTCGTGTTCTGTACTGGCACAAGATGGCGCTAAACAAGATCAAAAAATGTAAACTTTAAATAGTTCTTCCTTCAATCCTCTGCAAAGACAGAGTTAAATCTATGTCAGTTTTTGAGATAGTGTAAATTAGCCTTTATACATGTAGTGTCTCATGTATGCTTTATTGGTATTATTATTGTTTTCACTCCCCTTTAGCAGTAATGAGCAGATACAATATTTATTTTTTTGGCTTGCCATCCAGTATTAATAATATAAAAACCCTATATGGGGTTTGTCTAAGATCCCATTTGCCGTTTCATTATTCCGGGCAGCTGTGTGATATTTTCTGTCATATTAGCTGACATGTGGAAGACACTACATGACTGTAATGATGTATGTAAAATTTGCAGGTAATGCAATGCACAGAGTTAATGATAAATTGTTATACATGATACATTTTAAGCCATCCAGTGATGCAGAGTAGGTTTCTTTCTGCATATCTCGGGCTGTTTATCATGCACGTGCCAATGGATATACAAGGGACTATATATCATTAGATATATGTGTAATATTTTAATTTTGTTGCAAAAGCTTTTTTAACAACAGAAGAATACAATATTGAAAAAACAGTGTGCACTACATTCTGCTACAGATTAATGCAAATGTTGAGAATTTTAGTTCATCAGCTACTGTGGGTGCAACCTATATGGGGTTGTTTGAATTTTGTGCAATATAATATATAATATTTGACTTTGCTTTGGATTGTCTTGTCTGTTGTCAACTGATGTTAACGATTACTGATGTTAACGTCAATAGTTGTTCTCAGAGCACAGACTTCATGCCTGTCATGAAAGAACAGCTTATTTGATCGAAGAAAAACCGAAGAAATAAATATATTGCGACCAGCCTTATTTGGAAATTTGTCCAACGTTTCATTGGCATGTTTGTTTCAATAAAGAAATGTGTTGCTATGTGAAAAGTGTTATCATTGTTTCAGTAAATGCGCCCACGGTCATTTAAAACCATAAAAGCGTACTGCGCCTCATTATAGCGCTTTATTGTCTAATAGAATGCAAAGTATGAAGGTTTGGTCTTCGCCATAAACTTACGCCATCACAGTAAGACTGTGACAGTAAGACATTAACCAGATGTGTAAATGATTGTATGAATCGCAGAGCAGCTTCTTTGGGCAGGGATGTGTTAAGCTAGACGCAGCAAAATACACCTCAGACTTCGATCAGAACTTGCTTGAGACAGCTGAAGTAAAGCTCTCCGGGTGTGAAGAGTCACAAGGTTTCATGTCAGTTTGGCAAAGAGTGGATGCACAGGTGAGTCTTCAGTTCATTTACTGTGTGTTTACTTTTATATTTAACCTTTTTTAACCCATCACTGGTGATGAGCGTAACCCGAGGTTTTTGAAAAAGAGAAAAACCTTTTATGGGTAAATATATAAATACTTTTAGATGTGTGTCCATTAGGTTGTCTTTCAAAAAAATAAACTTACATATTCAGATTGCATAGTGTTTAGGTTGGGCTCATCACCTATTATAACGTAGACCTCATGTTCATGTAATAGCTTCATTTTTATTGCCGTGAATGCTAATTTAAACCTATCTGTGAAGCAAAAATAGTTCTTCCTTTTTAATTTATTTCTAAGTGCAATGTGACAATCTGTACTCTCAGGGCAGCTTGTGATGGCAGCACCGCAGGGGCCTTTTTTGGCCGCTGTGTTAGTCCTTGTGTCTTCGCTTCTCTGCTCCTCTTCCTCACCTGCATGTCTGCAGTCCTGCACCTGTCAGAGTGCTTTCCTGTTGAACTGTTCCTCAGCTGGCCTTTCCTCGGTGCCCCAGCACATCCAGGACTCTGTCACGGAGCTGGACTTTTCTCATAACCTCCTCAAATCTGTAACATTTCACCAGCCACATTATAACCTCAGGAGTGTGTGGCTGGGAAACAACAGTATCACACGTTTGTCCCTGTGCACTGGAAGAAACCTCGGTGGTCAACATCGTAGAGATAAATATCGCTCAAGACCTTGGACCAGACGGAAATGTGTATCTTGGGCCCCCACCCTGCAGCTGCTCTCTGTTGAGATGAATCAGCTACGCCAACTCCCAGAGGGTGAGTCAGTGTTATATGGTTGTAAACTAATAAATAAAACACTGTCAAAGCACATAAACATACACATTTTCACACGGATAAAAACTGCTACCAGTCAGCACTAACTGAAAACCTGAAAAATGTAATTAATTTCATTTAAAAGTAATTTCACTGTCAGGTGAATCTGCAGGTGTTTTAAAAGATTTCAATATCACTTAGCATTATATATGCAGTGCAGTATTTCCCGGTGCTTCAACAACACTCATCTTCTATAGAAGAATTGTGTTTTCTGGTGAATTTTCATCAAACTTTCATCTCATGAAAGGGAAAATATTTAAACTGCTGTAATAAGAAAGAACTGGAAAAAAATGATAAAAAGTACAATTTAGCACGAATAGATCGTGCATAACATTAGCAGCAGTTTAAGTTTGTAGCTTATTTTTGCTGTAAAACTCAAGGCAGCTTCTTAGTAAGGGAAAAAAATATACGTGTTTAGCATTGATTCGACAGGTATCTATTGGAAGGATGAAAAATCATTACTTTTAAATCCATCATATCATTTGGTGTCCAAATGATGATAGCAGCGCATGCTTTCTAACACTGTTGCTCCAGAATTGTTTGGTGTTTAGTTTAGTTAACATCCATTTAATATTCATGTGTCATTTTGCGTCCATAATGCACATTTTTTGTTGATATTATCATCCTGAAAGACATCACTCTCTTAGTAAGGGGAATCAAACCATGTAAGCAAAATACGTCTCCCAGAGTAAGAAGCCACTTTTCGTTTTACAGTAGGATCAAAGGTTAAAGATTTTCCTTTAATGTGTCAACCATTTGTTTATAACAATCCACTACAAGTGTAACATTTCCCACAAAAATGTAATGAAATCTAAGTATAAAGAGAAGAAGGTTGACTCAAGCAAAAGTAAAACTACCTGAAAACTGTTCTTCATTACAGTGCTTTAGTAAATATACTTACTGTACTTTACAATTCTGTTGAACTTGCACATACTGCAGAATTTAATAATCCTACAAACTACAATCACAAAATCTTAGACGTTAATATCAGCACAATTCTCAGCCAATATGAGTAGCAACCCATCCTAACATACTGGTCTTGCAAATTGCAGCGATATAACAATATTACATAGTATTCATAAACCACACCCAGTACATTTTGAGGTTGGTTACATGACTATGGCTGACTGTTATCTTGGGTGGAACATAAACAGGTGGTAGAAAAACTGACATATTAAATTTAACCTTCAGTATGGAACTAGTCGTGCAAGTCTCTTGTAAACATCTAAAAGTGTTTTGACTTCCAGATTCCAGACTTCCAGATTATGAGACAATTTGTTCACACTAGTTAATTGGGCCATAACTTATTGTTATCTTTAATATTAGGTAATAATATATAATGGTAAAGTTGCACACTCCTTAAAGGCACACCTTTAATTTCCTCATGGAATGTCATTGAGAAATGTCCTTGAGTCACACTGGAAAGATTGGTCCACCTTGCCACCATGTTCAGGAGGGTTTACCTCAAAGTCCATAGTGTAATAAATCTGTGAGATTTATGCATGTCAGTTACTGTTCTTTTCATATAAACAAACCACCCCACTGATATGCTTTATCTTTAGTACTTTGCTCCAGGCAGAAATAAACCACCTCACGTAGTTCCCCTGTACAGCCTCCAACCAGTCACAGTTGTTAATCGACATTTCCCTAAAAAGGTGGAAATAGAATACAACAGAACAGCCCTTTAGTGTCATTATACATGTACAATGAAATTATGGAATGTTGAGAATCACACAATGCCACTTTTCCTGGGCATTGTCATGTTTCTCCTCTTTCTCCTTGGTTGAACATGTGAGTGTTTCAAAGGAAACCATTCACTATAAGTCTTCTAATGGAATGTATAGACCGCCTATTTACTTAGCAAGAGCTCTGTTGACAATCATAGACCCTGTTCTATTTGGTATTCAGATCACAAAACCAGTGCCTCTCTAATGAAGCACAGATCCACAGTGCTTTTCCTCAGCACAGCAGTCTCAGGGAGATTGTCTCTACTGAAAAGGAGGAGCCAGCAGAAAATGGCCAAAAATAGACATATTGTAACACTATTCATTGTGAAAACAAAACAATTTGATTTTGTTTTTCATTGATGAGCTCCACACTGATTGAGGCTTATGTTTCACATTATATAATGTCAGCCGTGTTAATATGGCAGACCTGCAAGCAAATTGACAGAGAGGACAAGAGCCAGACAAACTTGTTGTTATTACTGAAAATCTGGAATACAGAATACATGTCTTGCTGTCTATGGGAGCTACCCAGTAATCTCTAAATGCAACTCTGATTTTCTGTCATTCAGGGCTGGAGGGTATTGAATCCTTGGAGGTTCTGCAACTCTCTTTCAACAGGATCTCAACTCTACGACTGGGAGAACTTAGCCATCTTCAGCAACTGAAAGAGTTACACTTACAACATAACCTCATCACAAGTCTCCATCCACAGATGTTTCAGGATTTACCACAGCTCAAAGTAAGACCATTTGTTGTTGTTGTTGTTGTTTGTTTTTGTATTTTGGGGCCTTTTTGTGTAAATACAGGTGATTGTTTTTCAGATATCTGTTCAAAAGCTAGACTTAAAACCTTGATGCCTACTCTAACTAACTGATAATGTCAATATCTAAATTGCAATTTGTTTTGCCAGTCAAACTCATCATAAATATTATATTGCCCTCAAAGGTCCTAGATCTGAGCTTCAACATGTTGACCAGCATCCATCCTTTAATGTACCTCACCCTGCAAAACATTGGAACAGAAGTTAGGCTGCTTGGAAACAGGTGGCAGTGTGACTGCAGGATGCACAGTCTAAGACGGCGGATAGCCTTTGACAGCAACAGAGGCCTGCAGGTCTGGAGCATCATGTGTGCTTCTCCATCCACCCTCTCAGGCAGAGATCTGCTTCAGCTGCAGGATGATGAACTGAACTGCCTCAGTACTGGTAACATCCCAGAGCTCCATCAGGATGTGACAGTCCACAGGGGCTCTGAGATACTGCTGTCCTGTTCAGCAGAAGGTAATACATCAAAATGATGCAAAAATGTTTAATGCATATTTAGCAATTTAAACTGATAATACTGCATATCAATGTGATCTTTTCCAGACTCAGTGTGGTGGACGCCCAATGGTCAAATGTCTGTGAACCAGTCTGATGGTGGTCTGCTCATCAGTGACATCACAGAGAGTGACACGGGACTGTATGTGTGTGTGTCTAAAGAAAAACAGGTTGTGTCTGTTTTTAACCTCCAAATCAGTAAAATAGGTGGTGCAAGAAGAAAACCTAGAAGTTTGTCTGAAACCAGCCAATACATAATCCAAGCAGGCCCCACAAAGAGTGTACGTAATGGGACAAGTCCAGGAGCTGGAGCAGTTACTCAGTCTGACTTGGCACTGGCTGTGTGTCTATCTATTTTCATCACATTTCTAATTGCCTTTATCCTTGGAGTCCTTGCAAGACCGTGTATTGATGCTCTTTGGAAAAGAGTCACCGAAAAGAACATCAATACACGGTCCCGTGAAACTAACTCTGCAGTCTCTGTAGAACAAACACAATATGACAATGAGGCCTTTTCCACTGGAGAGGAACTAGAAAGGACAGGACATCACAGGGAAAGGAGAGTCACATTTACCACTGTAGACTACAGAGAACATGGCAACGTACAGTACTATGATACTGTAGTCAGTGGCAATCCGGAAAGCATCAATAATGATGTAGTGATTGATTGTGAAGTTAGTGTGGCTCAGAATATTAAACATACTCCTGAAGATTCAGGAAATGAAAGTAGCTCACATCAGAGCAATTCAGAGGGTAGACTAAATGATGGCAGAGATCACACTACTGCTGGACATAGGCACAACATGGAGTTTGAACCCATCCCAGATCCTGTTGAACTAGAGGAAAAGAGAAGCCTATCTTCTTCAAGCTCTGATTCTTCACTATCTGAAAAAGAATTCAAAGAGCACCACACAATGCCTAAGGCTCCTAAGGTGACAAAGGACCCTTTTCAACAGAAAACTGATTTCTCAATACTTACAAAAGAAGAGGTGCCACAAAGATCACTAGAAGGCAAAAGTAAAATGCCTGGATTTACCTCTGAGCCATGGTCACCACACACAACAGACCCTGGTTATTTAGAGGAGAATGAAGAACTATTTGAATTTAGTGATTCTGTTCAAAGTCCATCTCCCAGGTCAGGCAGTATAATTGGTTCTTCTAATAAGTCAAAACTTACTGTGGCAACCCCTTCCAAAAAACACAAGCGGGATTCTGTGTCCAGTTCCAGCTCAAACAGCAGTGAGGATGAGTCTACACTTTACAAAGCCAACTCTGACCAGCAAATCAAGCCTGCAGTGAAACCAGAGCACTCGTTTTCCTCCGATTCCAGTGACAGTGATAAGGAGCCAGACCAGCACACAGTTAAGCTAGAAATTGATAAAGATAGCACAGTGAAAGTTAAACCAAAGCCGCGGACAAAGTGGCATGATGTCTATTCGGATACCAGTCAGAGTAAGAATCTGGATGCCAAAGCACCTTCACTATCTATAAGAGATTCATCCTCTTCCAGCAGTGACAGTGAAGCAGATTCCAAAGTACACTCAAGTATAGACAGAAAAAGCCAAATCAAAGAGCATTCACACATCACTGCTCCATTACCGGAGTCAAATTCATCTTCCAGAAGCATGAGGAAAGATTCAGATATCAAAGAACCTTCATCAGCCTCTAGTTCATCTTCTAGTAGTGAAAGTGATGATGAAGCAGGCCACAAAGTGCAGCAGGTTCCAGGAAAGTTGGGCATTCCACCCTGCCCATTCAAAGAATCTCAAACAAAGAGTCCTGATCCAAATGCAAAGTGGCCTACCATTGATCTTCTACACATTCCTCACATTAAGCGGCGCCTAGATATCAAAGCATCATCAGTAGCAGTAGGTTCTGACACAACTTCTAGCAGTGAAAGTGAGGAGGAAACAACGAAACACATAAAGAAACAGGAGCAAGGAGGTATATATATGCCAATTGTTCCAAATAGGTCATCTCAAAAAATAAATCAAGAGGATAATATTCGAAGGCCTGCCATTCCTCCTGAGCGTCCCAGGAGTATCAAGAAAGATTTAGATCTCAAAGAACCTTCATCAGCCTCTAGTTCATCTTCTAGTAGTGAAAGTGATGATGAAGCAGGCCACAAAGTGCAGCAGGTTCCAGGAAAGTTGGGCATTCCACCCCGCCCATTCAAAGAATCTCAAACAAAGAGTCCTGATCCAAATGCAAAGTGGCCTACCATTGATCTTCTACACATTCCTCACATTAAGCGGCGCCTAGATATCAAAGCATCATCAGTAGCAGTAGGTTCTGACACAACTTCTAGCAGTGAAAGTGAGGAGGAAACAACGAAACACATAAAGAAACAGGTGCAAGGAGGTATATATATGCCAATTGTTCCAGACAGGTCATCTCAAAAAATAAATCAAGAGGATAATATTCGAAGGCCTGCCATTCCTCCTGAGCGTCCCAGGAGTATCAAGAAAGATTTAGATCTCAAAGAACCTTCATCAGCCTCTAGTTCATCTTCTAGTAGTGAAAGTGATGATGAAGCAGGCCACAAAGTGCAGCAGAGTCCAGGAAAGTTGGACATTCCACCCCGCCCATTCAAAGAATCTCAAACAAAGAGTCCTGATCCAAATGCAAAGTGGCCTACCATTGATCTTCTACACATTCCTCACATTAAACGCCGCCTAGATATCAAAGCACCATCAAAAGAATCTGACACATCTTCTAGCAGTGACAGTGAGGAGGAAACAACGAAACACATAAAGAAACAGGAGCAAGGAGGTATATATATGCCAATTGTTCCAAACAGGTCATCTCAAAAAATAAATCAAGAGGATAATATTCGAAGGCCTGCCATTCCTCCTGAGCGTCCCAGGAGTATCAAGAAAGATTTAGATCTCAAAGAACCTTCATCAGCCTCTAGTTCATCTTCTAGTAGTGAAAGTGATGATGAAGCAGGCCACAAAGGGCAGCAGAGTCCAGGAAAGTTGGGCATTCCACCCCTCCCATTCAAAGAATCTCAAACAAAGAGTCCTGATCCAAATGCAAAGTGGCCTACCATTGATCTTCTACACATTCCTCACATTAAGCGGCGCCTAGATATCAAAGCATCATCAGTAGCAGTAGGTTCTGACACAACTTCTAGCAGTGAAAGTGAGGAGGAAACAACGAACACATAAAGAAACAGGTGCAAGGAGGTATATATATGCCAATTGTTCCAGACAGGTCATCTCAAAAAATAAATCAAGAGGATAATATTCGAAGGCCTGCCATTCCTCCTGAGTGTCCCAGGAGTATCAAGAAAGATTTAGATCTCAAAGAACCTTCATCAGCCTCTAGTTCATCTTCTAGTAGTGAAAGTGATGATGAAGCAGGCCACAAAGGGCAGCAGGTTCCAGGAAAGTTGGGCATTCCACCCCGCCCATTCAAAGAATCTCAAACAAGGAGTCCTGATCCAAATGCAAAGTGGCCTACCATTGATCTTCTACACATTCCTCACATTAAACGCCGCTTAGATATCAAAGCACCATCAAAAGAATCTGACACATCTTCTAGCAGTGACAGTGAGGAGGAAACAACGAAACACATAAAGAAACAGGAGCAAGGAGGTATATATATGCCAATTGTTCCAAACAGGTCATCTCAAAAAATAAACCAAGAGGATAATATTCAAAGGCCTGCCATTCCTCCTGAGCGTCCCAGGAGTATCAAGAAAGATTCAGATGCCAAAGAACCTTCATCAGCCTCTAGTTCATCTTCTAGTAGTGAAAGTGATGATGAAGCAGGCCACAAAGGGCAGCAGAGTCCAGGAAAGTTGGGCATTCCACCCCGCCCATTCAAAGAATCTCAAACAAGGAGTCCTGATCCAAATGCAAAGTGGCCTACCATTGATCTTCTACACATTCCTCACATTAAGCGGTGCCTAGATATCAAAGCACCATCTGTAGATTCGGACACATCTTCTAGCAGTGACAGTGAGGAGGAAACAGTAAAGAAACAAGACCATGGAGCTGTACATATTCCAATTCTTCCAAATCGGTCATCTCAAAAAGCCAGTCGTGAGCATGACATAAGAAGGCCTGCCATTCCTCCTGAGCGTCCCAGGAGTATCAAGAAAGATTCCGATATCAAAGAACCTTCATCAGCCTCTAGTTCATCTTCTAGTAGTGAAAGTGATGATGAAGCAGGCCACAAAGTGCAGCAGGTTCCAGGAAAGTTGGGCATTCCACCCCGCCCATTCAGAGAATCTCAAACAAAGAGTCCTGATCCAAATGCAAAGTGGCCTACCATTGATCTTCTACACATTCCTCACATTAAACGCCGCCTAGATATCAAAGCATCATCAGTAGCAGTAGGTTCTGACACAACTTCTAGCAGTGAAAGTGAGGAGGAAACAACGAAACACATAAAGAAACAGGAGCAAGGAGGTATATATATGCCAATTGTTCCAGACAGGTCATCTCAAAAAATAAATCAAGAGGATAATATTCGAAGGTCTGCCATTCCTCCTGAGTGTCCCAGGAGTATCAAGAAAGATTTAGATATCAAAGAACCTTCATCAGCCTCTAGTTCATCTTCTAGTAGTGAAAGTGATGATGAAGCAGGCCACAAAGGGCAGCAGAGTCCAGGAAAGTTGGGCATTCCACCCCGCCCATTCAAAGAATCTCAAACAAAGAGTCCTGATCCAAATGCAAAGTGGCCTACCATTGATCTTCTACACATTCCTCACATTAAACGCCGCCTAGATATCAAAGCACCATCAAAAGAATCTGACACATCTTCTAGCAGTGACAGTGAGGAGGAAACAACGAAACACATAAAGAAACAGGAGCAAGGAGGTATATATATGCCAATTGTTCCAAACAGGTCATCTCAAAAAATAAATCAAGAGGATAATATTCGAAGGCCTGCCATTCCTCCTGAGCGTCCCAGGAGTATCAAGAAAGATTCCGATATCAAAGAACCTTCATCAGCCTCTAGTTCATCTTCTAGTAGTGAAAGTGATGATGAAGCAGGCCACAAAGTGCAGCAGGTTCCAGGAAAGTTGGGCATTCCACCCCGCCCATTCAGAGAATCTCAAACAAAGAGTCCCGATCCAAATGCAAAGTGGCCTACCATTGATCTTCTACACATTCCTCGAGTTAAGCGGCGCCTAGATATCAAAGCACCATCAGTAGATTCTGACACATCTTCTAGCAGTGACAGTGAGGAGGAAACAACGAAACACATAAAGAAACAGGAGCAAGAAGATATATATAGTCCAAGGCAAGAAACTGATTTGCTTTACACAAAAACCCAATATGTTCATCATACTGCAGACATCAAATCAGTATTATCAACTTCTGAGTCATCTTCAAGTAGTGACAGTGAAGATGAAAAAAGGGGCCAGACAAAGAAGCAGAGTTTGGGCTCAACGGGGTTTCAACAATCTCAAACCAAACGTCATGATCCTATTTACACATCAAGCAGCTCAGATGAGGAGGGGATGGAAGATTTAAGAAACCGCCCAGTTGCAATTAAACCAGATTCAAGATTGCCTGAAATAGGCCTCAGCACTATCCCCTATGTCAAAAAGCATCTGGATATCAAGACACGTTCACCTAAGTCCTCCTCCAGCAGTGATGAGAGTGAAGGTCGGACTACAGACCAGCCTGTTAAAATGGCTAGCAACTTAGGCTCTCCAACTTCTACACTGTTTAAGCTTCCTCACATTTCAAAGAAAGATTCCAATATTACATTAGAAAAGTATGTTGTTATAACAGATGAGTTGACGGAAAATCGAAAAGACAACTTCAGCACAACACCAGAGATAAACTCTGAGCTCCAGTCACGATGGGCCACAATGAATCTTGGTTTTTCCCAATTTAGAAAGCGCCTTGAAATCACATCACCGAGTTCTCAACCATCCAAATATCCCTCATCACCTCTGCCAGACTCCTCTTCTCTGAATCCTGAAAACAAACATGTGAAACCCTCTGATTCCTCTTCCAGCAGCAGCAGCAGTGAAGATGAGATAACAGAAAATAGAGCTCCTCCAGGCATGACATATGTTGACTTTCCAATCTATAAGCGTTCAATTATGAAAACTTCATCGCTATCTGATAGTTCTTTCTCCCCCAGTGGCAAGACCCAAATGGTAAATGTTGCACAGGAAAGTGAAAAGGACAGAAATTCATCACTTGCTCCAAAGAGAGTATCCAGTCTGAGCTTTGAGGATGAAGTAAGGAGAAGGACTGAACAAAGACACAATGCAAATGCAGATATACCACCAGAGATAAAATGGACTGGTGTTGGTCATCATCTGTCTAAAATCTCTACACCAGCACTAAAGACGGGTCTGAATACAACACCTCCACAGCAGGCTTCACCTGCAAAACCAGAACTTCCCCAGCTGTACTCCTCCAGCATCAAAAGTGACGTTAAAATAAAGCAAGACAGTTGGAAATCAGATGTAAAGCCAACACATAAATTCTCATCCATTAGTGCCAATAGTACTTCTTCTGCATCCGGAGGTGCTCTTCACAGGCTTTACAACTCACCCAACACCACATATGAGAATCCAAGCCCTATTTTGCTCTCTGATAGGAAGGAAAGAAAAGGCCTCAGTGCCCTAAAAGTCATGTCATCAGAGAGAAAAATGTGGGACACGGTGGATTTCAGTGGGGATGTATCTCCTACAGCTGATGACCACAGTCCACAAGTTGACACCGGTGTTTATTATCGCAAGTCTGAGCCAGACATCAAACCCCTGCCACGATTACATCTCCCCTCTGCTTCACCAGATGAGAGAAGAGCTACAGATTTGTTGTATGATCTTCCCCGCTACAGGAGCCATGACATCAAACCACCACAAGTTGCCCCACCTCCTATTCCTGTAACACTACCGCCAGAGGAGGCCGTTGGGCTTTCATGGAGATCTCCACAGGACAATAAGAAACACGGCTCGGAAGGAAATAGAACCTATCAGCAACAGAGACAAAACACAGAGGAACCTGTTGCTTCTTCGCTTACACCAGAATACCCACCAATCTATTTAAACACTTCAAACATCAGTCATGTTTAATGACAAGTCAATTCATGCTAAACACTTGAAAAGCCACCCAGATGATAGGCATGATTCTCTGAGCTTAAGTTATCCTGTGAATGTCAAAAATATTGTGAATTGTATATTATGTGTGACTTTGGAATGAAATGTAAGCTATAATCATTCATTGGCTAGGGCTGCCACAGAGCACTTAAATGCAGTCTTTATCAATGCACCATGCTTATCTTTCATGTTTGACTTATTTCTGCAAAATAAGATGCCAAATGAGTTATTTACTTGCATTCATGAACAGAAGTGATGGCTCAAATTTGTGTATAAAAACCTAAATTCAGTGATGTTAAAGACTAAATCATGAAATAATTTACAGATTTTTTTTTGTATCTCTAATTGAACATTTTAGCAAATAATAATAATAATAAAAATATCAATTTGCACATATACATTTTTATTTGTATATTTGCTACATCCCAGATTTTTGTGCAATTTATTTAGCTATTACAGGTACAAAAACTGATGATGTAGAGGTCTCAAAATCCTATGTATTAAATGTGATACACTTGACATTATAAGGTTAAACAAGGGCGAACTATCAACTAAATAACCAGAACATAAGCCATAAATAAGTTAATAAACCATTTTATTTACTTGTATAGACACAGGTTATAGTGAAAACAGACATATAGACACATAGTTTACATACATATATACAGTTGGGACAAGGCTGTTCATCCTCCTGCATTATCAAGGGAGAAGACTAAACCACTGATCTCTACACAGTATTTGGTAAGCAATCCTACAACTACTTTAGTCTTAAGGTTTATGCTGATGGTCGATGCATTGTAGTGACGACAAAGGTTTCTGTGTAGTTTTCAACTGAAATGGATTTATGGAAGCGTTTATGTATGTCATGACAATGTAGTGCAACAGTAGCAAAACAGGCTACTGTCTGCATTGCCTGCAGTTTGCCAAAGTTTTGCAGCATATGTAAGGATGTGTAACAAAGGGTAAATGCAGGAGGGAACTCCTGTTCCACCATGAGGTTACAGGTGTGTTCCAGGTCTTAATAGACACAATCATGTTTATCATCAGAATTCAAAGAACATGATTGTGTTTATGAAATTAAGCACAAAACACTTGCACAAAAACCTGTACAAAACAAAAACAAAAAGTTTGAAAAATGTTTTCAAAAAATCTCATCCATTCACAAAAGGCTCTGTCGGAGCATGCATGCAAATATTAAATCTTCTGACAATTCAGCATCACATCACAGCCAAAGACAAAAATTTATACATGTGTTACAAGAACATTATACTAGGCGAAAAGAACAGCATAGCATCATCACAAAGTTCCAAACTGTCAGTGTCCACTGTTTTGAGTACATCCTATGGGTGGTATAAAGCAACACTTTCACCAAACGTACCTTACTACTCAAGCCTAAAGGACCTCATCCTGAGAGGGTCACCGGTCTTCCACTGCAGTTACATTAACACCGTCAGTGTTGGGAGAGATGCTACTGGTAAGAGGAGACCTGAAACTATCAGTGGACTAAGGAAGACAAACAGATGCCACATATCAAGACAAAATGGACACCAACTAGCTCTATGTCAACTTATAACACAGCCAAAACAGTCTGAGTTCATCCTGAAATAATCCCTGACCACTCAGTGTGTCTGTGTGCATGTACTCTTATCACACGTGTATGTACATTTGGGTTTATTGGTATGTGTGTGGGACACACAAAGTGACTTCCATGTTTTGAGGCACAGTAATACTCTCATCTACAGAACGTAGATACATAAATCAGTCATCAGACCAATAAATGCTGATCAGAGCACTAGTGGCTCACCGCTGTACTGTAATAAGAGTTAGTAAGCAGCAATGCTAAACTGTTTGGTGTTATGAGGTCTGAAGCCTTTGCAGGGGGCTAGCAAATGAATAGCTAGAAGCAAAAACAAAAAGAAAAACAACAACAACAAAAAAAGCTGAAGCAATCAAAACTGGAGGGGAAAGAAGAAAACAAACAAAAAACAACTACAAACTGGCACAAATCAATAGAATAGAAACTTGCAATCAACCATTTGACACAGTGTGCTTCTTGAAGTACTCCTATGAAACTCAAAATATGACAAAAAAAAATAAAATTAAGTGCTATCTGTCCAGAAAAGCTCAAGTTCAAGTTCATTGCACAGATGTATAATACTTTAATGTGCCCAGGTCAAAGTGACCCTATTTAAGACTCAGACACAATGCATGAATGGTCACTTCTCTCAGTTTCTCTGTGCTGAAGACAAGGGGTGAGGAGTGGTTCTCCCACACAATACCATTTTGCTTCCATCATCCATGTATGACACCACGTTATCCTAACACAGACAGCAATATGACATGTCACAGTGAGAGAGCAATGCCACTGGAGATTGCTGCAAGCTTGCCCACTACGCAACTTCGGTAGGGAGCACAGCAGCCCTCCTGCCTCCACGCTCTGAGCAGCGTGCATGCAGGCTGCAAACCCAGCAACCCCACCCTAGCCCACCCACAGCCCAAACCCCTCCTTTCCCCAGGAAGCACCCACAGTCACTCCTTTACTTTTTTTTGTATTGGTTACTTATTGGTTATTGATTCTCAGAGTCGTTGTTGTCACAGTTGTATTACTTTCCCCATTTTTGCGCTGCAGTTATGACATCTGTCTTTCTTTGTACCATTCCACAAACTCGTCCAACAAAACAGGCCCTAATGAAAAAAAACAAACAAAAACAAAGATGAGGCACAAATTTCAGTATATTACAAAATTAGTATTTGGGTAACACTCAGCTACACGTAAATGTGTGCTAACTTACAGGCACCATCTTCATCATAGTTGCTGAGGTCCAGGTTGATTGTCCTGCTGAACTCTAAAACATTGCACCATTGGTCTTTGTTGATGACTTTGTACTTTGATTGCTGAGGAATAACAAATAAATCCTTTAGAGTGATAGCTTTTTAGCTACAACAGCTCTTTCCAAGGTTAAAATGGGCAACAAATGATGGTATATACAACTACTCCACGAGACTTCTGTGACTGATTTTCTTAAAAAACAAAACAAACACCCCAACCAACCAAACTGCTTACCTCTAGAAACTGATTAAACACAGGAAACAAAGGCCACGTCTTTCCCAGAAGAAGCCCCAACATACATTTGGCTGTGTTCAAGTCCAAACTCCTCTGATCCTTTTCCTGTACAATCAGAACACCCAAGACTTTCTCAAATCAATGCAACAAGTCCAAACAGACAGTCAAGTCAGACAGCCAGATTACAATATTTACTGTTTCTTACTGAGATTTTTGTATTTGTTCAAATGAATTTAACCTGGTTGTTGAATGCTGTGTGTTGACTGCTCCACTCACCCGAGCAAAATCAAAGGCATATCTATAAATGAGCTTAAAGCTGGTGCTGTCATTTAGGACAGATCTCAGGTAGTCAAGTGAATTCCTCAGCCTCTCAGTCGAATCACACCTGACGGCAGCAAAAAACTAGCTTAGGTATGTTACAGGATCCAATTTAATGCAAGTTACACTAAGAAAACACATCAATCTAGATAGGAAATCTTGAAAACTGTATTATATTTTAAAAAAATGAAGAAGAAGAAAAAAAGCACTAAAGTAAGTAAATGACATACTGCAATGAGCCCATGCCTCTCAGCCACTCCTGAAGGGTGAAATATCCCATACTCTGGGCATCCAGCTTCCAAGCAAGAACCAGCATCACCACCTGAGCACAAGCAACAAATGACAGTTGCAGATATTCTTAAATACAAGATATTCAATCCATTACATATCACATGACCTTAAAGGTCTAGGACTGCTGATTGAGAATGCAGATTAAAAGATAGACTTTTATAAAGTCTCAGAAATGATCAGAAATGCAAATTGTCACCACTTCCAAAAGGATGTCATTAAAGAAAATGCCAGAGAGATAAACAGATGTCGAAATATGAAAGATTTTAAATATGCGCTTACATTCTCCGGCTCCACCCCGATGTCCTCACAGAATTTTTCCATGCCCTCTGGACCCACCACATCATCGCAGCCTATTCATGATAAACAAATGTCAATAGCAGCAATTTCCCATGTATGCACTGAGAAGAGGTCAAATGCAATGAAACTAAGAGTGTGTCCAGTAAGTGCTCACCTGCATATTCATAGAACCACTCCAAGCATCTTTTACTAGAAAACATCTCCTCCTCTCGGATTTGGGATGTTTCATGTTTTCTGAAAACGCTGTGAAGGAAAAAGAAAATTTCAACCATACTACATGTGCAGTACACCGTTTATTATATGTTTACGAATGGCAAAATAAACTGTGTACTGCACATATTCAAGTTCACTGAATATTTAATTAAAGGGATCTCGCACCTGTCCTGGCGACTTTTCTTGGCTGACATGTCATCTCCAGCAGAGGGTCTCCTCTTTTTCCTAGGAGGCATGGCTTTAGAGCAACAAGCTAGGGAAGTAAACAGAGGAGAAAATGAAAGAATAAATCTTTAAGAACGACATGCAATATGCCAACTTTCTATAGCAAAACATTTGAGTACTAGCCAAGCACTGAGAGTCCACTTCAGAAAGTGATATGTTAATGTACATCTGGCCTGATAAAAACACTAAACTGATTTAAAAAAACATAAAAAAAGGAGCAGCTGTATAGTTACCTGAGGGGTGGCTGTCCTGTCCAACGTCTTCTGCCAAGTTCTATTCAAAACAAATATGTGTGAGTAGGACACAGATGTACAGGGCACATGCATGCTAAAATAAAGCACACATAAACATATTGCTAATATGCATTTACCAGCCTGTGCAAGGTGTGGTGGATCTTATGGATGCTGGCCAGTGTAGTCAAGTGGGAATTCAGCTGAAAATCTATTTCCAAAAAATAAATATAACGTCAGAAAAGAACTAAACTAAACCGTGACACTCAGCTTTATGCTCCTGATCATGCTTGGCATGAGCACAAGGGTACAAGAAGGTGACATCATCACAGCCCCAGTAAGAACACTGGACTCAAATCTCAGGTGATCTTTGATTAGGAATCACACAACATTCACAGAGCACGCACTACTATCGCTTGATTTCCAGTTTTCAAAGATCTACGTTGCTGAAAATATCTCACACGAATGAGGGAGGGACTGCATTCCTCTAAAGACGTGAGAACGATCATGCATGCTACCTTCTCGCTTCAAGCCTTCTGTGCACTGTCGATTAAAAGCTGTCACCAAACACCGATGATTTTAACGTTTTTTCAGAGGCCAAAACCACACTCAAACCAGTACACTGCCGAGCAGATAGCACTAGCTGCATACCTAAAATAGCAGTGCAGACGCGCAACTTGCACAGAGTTTACAAAGTATCTGGAGAGTTTGGACGTATGGGCGTTGTAGTCCATTTCCTCTAAACAGGCCATTGGAAGCTAAGCTCTGTTTGGGATACTAAACTACAATTCCCATGCATTTGCAAAACAACTACTTCTCTCAGACCCTTCTACCCCCAACATTTACACCAACTGATTGAATGCATTTTACGTTGTTTGAAAAATATACAACATTATATGTGTTCTGGCACAAAACCAACGCACAGGCGTTTGCAGCAGCTGGTGTAGATGGCGCAAAACCCGGCGGCAGTGCTGCAGCAGGCAATGAAAGCTGTTTTACACAACTGCGTCACAATTTTCATTCCCTGTAAGAGTCCGCAGTTGACCAGAATATTGACCGATTTGCAATGGTCCTGCGTGGATGCCAAATGTGAGCTGATACCTGCTGTACGTGACCCATGAAGATGAATATAAACAGCTCAACACGCCGTTTAACCATCGAAAACCATCTGAATTTAACTAACGTCAGCCGCATTCAGCCGAGCACCGCTAACGCGACTCGAAAAATTAACTTCGCAAAACCTTCAGTGTCAAATATAACCTTCCACATGTCCAAACAGCTAAAATTACACCAGCTATCCTCCCTTTGTTGTCGCACAAGACAGCACTAGCAAATACAAAGAGAGCAGCAAATAGCACAGAATTCACGCGTCCTCATCAAACGCCACACGACCATGAGACAAAACTGTTGTTCAAAACAGAGCAAGACTATTAACGTCTGTGCCACACGCGCTATGGGGTCCCAAATTGATCCAGAAAAACCTCTCTAACGTTACTACTTACTTGCCGCATCAGAGTGCATTTTTATGAAACATACAACTGTCTGTGGGAAGTCCGCAGACCGGCCAATAGGCGGGCCTTGTCAATGTAAGCCACGCCCGCAGCTGTGGATTGAAGGTCAGCCTCATTCGCCTCCGCCTTTGCTCGCTGTCAATTGGCTAGTCGAGGTGTCATGTCATGACAGGGAGGGAAAAGACACCAGCTCCTCCCTCAACGAAATGTGATTGGTCATAGTTCTCAAAACAGGCCGTGCTATTCGCACGTCAATCACTAGAATTTCCTCGTGCAAAATTGAAACCAACCCACGATGAAATCTGATTGGTAGTTCTACTTCTAAATTGACTTCCCAGTGTAATCGCGGTTTGGGTTCGCTTAAAGTCAACGCCGTTTGTTGGAAGTAGGAGACGGTGTATTTGGTAATGTGAGTTATGTTTTGATTTTTACCAAGGATAGGACGACAGCACTTAAATTCCCGGAATGTTTGCAGTGATGCTGCCCTAAATACCACTCTTAATTGCCCCTTGGGGATAAATAAAGTCTTTCTGAACACTTACCTTCATTTACGTTACCCTGTCAAATTTAGTATGCCCTGTTTGTCATGTGACTATAAATCTCAGTTTTTGTACAAGACGAACGAATGCAAACGTAGCAACATTGTTGGGCCCAAAGTTGTTTTTTTATATATCAGTAACATTATGGTGTTACTCACATGACTCTGTTTAAATGATTAGCTAAGCAACTATACCCCGTGTGAGTATAGAGAAGCTCACCAGGTTATTTAAACCACAGCACCTTACTCAATACAGCCATGATTAAATTTGTATTACTTTGTACTGGTAGAAATGGGTAAAACGGCCTACTGAGTTGTCCACTGCACAGTCGTGTATGTAGTTCCTTTGCCTTCCAGTTACACTCTTTATGCATTGACAGTCCTAGTCGGCACTAGTTTACAGCATATGGGCATTTAATAGTGGATTCAAGGTGGGTTACTTTGCATTTGATGTGTGTTTTCATTTTTATACTATTAAACTACATTTTGGAGGAGAATGTAGCCGCCCCCCCCCCCTTTTTTTTAAACCTAATTAAATTTATTTGGCAGGTACACTTAGAAATTTGTAGGAAATACCTCACATATTAAATACGATGCCTTATGCATTGGCCTGGATCAGTTTTAAATTAATTTTTTTTAGTCATACGTTATTTAGAATAATGTTATGTATTAGTTCTGTACTAGTGAACAGCTACTATTTTTTTTTCTAAATCAGAGCATTTTTGTAGAATTTGTGCAGTTGCAGTTGTTAGGATATAGAAAATTTAAACTATTTAATTAATGCTCAGCAGTGATGTTAATAAATAAGTAGTAAAACAAATGTGTTTGCTTCATGGATAAGTGAGCCTTTGCTCCTTAAGCTGTGACCTGTTGAAAGGTATTTAAGTACAGATTATATATACCATTATTAGAGAAACTGTAGCACTGATATCTGCATTTTTATTAGTGGTAGTAAAGAAAACCTTGACCTTTGGCTTATAGGGATGTGTGTCCAATGAAATAACCAATAATAGGTGATCTTGTTATGAAGTTTGACTGCGTATATTGAATCTTTAGCCTAAACACATGTAGATAATATGTTACCTTTACCCACACTTGTGGGTCTACTAAATAGTGATATGAAAGAGCAAACACGAAGCTGTAGGCAAAAAAGGTGTGTCAAACACTGACGTGTAAACTGGTATACAGAGGTGAACCTGACCTGTTTTGGCTTGTCATCCTCATGCTCAAACAAATCTGACTGGGCAGAGCTCTGTTAGGAAGGCGGAGTTAAAAGTCTAGTCCAGGAAGTTCTATTACAGCTTGTTGCATTTGACACAGGCAAGGGGAAGCTTCAAAAGCAGCATAATAGAGCTCCAGCAACAAACTACTGAAGGGTCTAAGATCATGAGTGCTGAAATAAGTGGGCAAACAGTGCCGACCGAGGAACCGGCAGCTGCTGGTTCAGGTTCAGCTCCCATTAAAGGAGGGTGGAAAGTGAGTGGCAAACAAATTTGTACTAGACATTTTGAGCCCAGATGCAATGCTCTATGTCACATATGATAACTAACCTCTATTCTGTTTCTTACAGTGCCCATTGAGTGATGCCCATGTTCACAGAGAAGATGTGAGAAAAGTTTGGAAAGAGTGCCAAGAGGAGAGCTTCTGGTACAGAGGTAGTCTCTTTCAGACATTCAGTAAATGCTCTCACGTGTGTCACAAATTTTCATTAACAATTTGTTGAAATGTCTCCCAGTGAGAGACAAGACTTGGAAATGTTCTTTGATGTGTAAGCAGGGTTTTTGTAGTAGAAGTAGGGGATAGGGGTCATCAATCAAGCTTACCGTTGAGGGTTTACATTCTTCACTGCGGAATTCAGTGTGTGGTCTTAAAAAAGGGGGGCAGATCAGTAAGAGGGTAAGTAACTCATAGTAAGATTTTATACTTTCGTCAATCTCTCAGTTGTGATTACAATGTGTTTATTTGATCATGATTATTTATATATGCATTGCTTTTAAAGAAATCATTTAAATACTATAACCACTCTGCCCTGCCTGATCAGAGCTTTTACTTAGGGTTAAGGTTGGGTGAAGCTTGGCTGGGAGTGTCCAGAGGTAAAAAAGAGGTTCTAGATAAAACTAAGGGGGGAAAAAACACCCGATCTGGAAAAAGTAGTAGAAGAAAAAAAAACACAAGAGGTTTAAAGATATATCAGTCATTTATGCACACCCACACATCTTTTATACAACTGTCAGAAAATAATTATCACAGCAAAAGCTTAAGATTGTATAAGCTACTGTGAGCAGCTTGCACTAAAGAAAATATTGTGGTCAGGCTTTTTTAGATAAAGAATTCCCAAACTGAAGATTATTGGTGTTTCATGTGGCAACACATCGTTGTCTTTAGTCTCCATCTTGGCCCGGCCTCTCACCACTAACCACACAGCTGCTGCTCATCTTCTCTCATCAAGCAGTTATGTAAACATGCAGTGGCAGCAATCACTTCTTCCTGTATCCGTCCTTTCCATCCCATTAGATGGACATGAGGTTGAGTTTTGGTATATGTCTCATTACTCCAAAGTTCATTTACGTTGAACTATAGGCAAACAAAGCAAAATTAACGTCTTCTAGTGGATTCATTCATATGGGAAATATCGCCATTTAATCACAGACAGAAAAACTTACCTTTTATGCATTATGTATTTGTTTTGAATGCTGGCTTTTTAAAATAACTTTACTCTGATTCTATTATAATATTTCCCCAAACGCTGTCCAGCAGTTTGTGGCTTTGATCAGCTTCAGAGTAACTTCTGTTTGACTTGATTTCTGTTTTTAGCGCTTCCATTGTCTGTGGGCAGCATGGCTGTCACCGGTGGTCTCATCTACCAAGGTAAAGCATTAACATTCAAATACCGTACTTTAAATTACATGATATTGATCAAAGTAAAGCAGGTGTTTCTATAGTTATCACTTTTTTCCCTCCACATAGGTATTTGGAAATCATCAAAGCGATTTGGTCCTTTTCCAAAACTAGCAGGTTTGTGTCTTTCAGTATCTTGGATCTCAGTTTGTAAGTGGCAGCTGTGATTAAAGAAATAATTGTTCTTCTTCAGTTGCAGGGATCCTTGGATTTGCAGTGGGGAAAGCATCCTATGTGGGCACTTGTCGGAGCAAATTCCAGGAGCTTGGCATTCAGGGTGGACCGGGGATTGGACCCTGGTCAAAGAGAGATCACCCTGGTCACAGACACAGGGAGGGCAGGTGCTGAATTTCTGTTTGTGTAATATCATGTTGTGTGGTAATATTCGCAGATTCTGGGAAGAGGAGTGCTGATAATCGGAAAAAGACTTACTTTGTGGTTTTTCGTTGTATATTTGATTGTCCATTTGTTTTTATTTCATTTTACTTTATTTTTTTAATATTCTCTGAGTAATTGCTCTTCTGTCTTGTTTATTGACCACCAGAGTTACAGTGCAAGCATTCAAAAGTCATTCGGAATCAAATTACTTTATTAATCCCAGAGGAAATTGTGTCATTGTGCTGGTCCACCTTTAATAAATGACATAAAAACAATTATTTAAAAATGTTACAGATACTTATTTTTATCAGCCATTGTTATTTTTTCTCCTCTCTTTGGATGATCAATACCCTTACGCCTCAGCATGACACTTACCCAAACATTATCCTCATAGACCCTGCCACCATGTGTGTGAAGAATGTAAGAAAAATGCTCCAGCAGCACCAGCTGGACAGGCTTAAAGACTGTGAGGACGGATGTACGGTAACATTCAGTGTGCATAACTGTAAAAATAATGTATTCAGATTAGTGCAAATATAAACTATCAGAAAATATGAAAAACAATATATATATATATATTTTTAAAAGGACAACTTTGATATGTTACATAATTTGTGTCACTGTACATTGATGCACACCTATTTAAGTATTTCCTTTCCTTTTTCATCCTCACCAGTGTTGGAGAGATTTTCTGCATGAATTCATCACCTTCTTATCAATGTCTTAAATAAAACATGTAAACACGTCTCATTTTATCAAATAACCACTAGGGGGCGCTGCTATCCTTTCTATCAAAGAGCAAGCGCTTATAGAATTTCTAGTTTATACAGGGAGGTGAATATATGGGTAAAGCCAGGTCTTTGGACATAATTATCAACAACTAAACAGTTATTGAATGTTAAGAATGAGATCTGAAAATAAATAAATAACAGCCCTATGACAGTGGAGAAAAAAAAAAAGGTTTTGCCAAACTTGAATCATCAGGCATGAGTACAGTAACGACCACATCCATAACAGCAGCAGTAGTCCTACCTTAGGTTGCTCAGTGAATATGCAATGCTTGGCTACCTTCAAAAACAACTAAGGTGTAAGGGGTTAATCTGTACATGACAAATTACAGAATTTAATGAAAGGTGGAATGGGGAACATATCTTTGAGTTTTTAATATTTGGTACTTACCAGTCTAATAATAATAATGGCTTCTCTTTATTTTCTTTTCCACATTTTGAGCATTAAGAAATCTGGTCTTAATTTTGACAGTTTATAGCACAGAAGGTGCACTTTGGAGCTGAACAGACAGCCATAACATTTTAAAACCTGTGCTTTCGTGTGTCTATAAGTGAAAGCACTAACAAAGTTGTATAACTGAAAAAAACACGATGTGGCTTTCTTACCCTATTGTGAATGAGAATTGGTCACTACTTGTAGTAATGCTAAGCTAAGTGTGATTTTACTTCAGATATGTGTAGAGGCATTTACAAATATAACGTCTGATTTAAAAAGTTACCCAGACTGCTCACATCAGTGCAGGCCTCCACTAATCAGGTCTTGATGGTAAAATGGTCAGATGGAAGACATTCCTCAGTAATGAGCATGTGACAGTGAGCTGGGAGTTTGCCAAAAGGTACCTTAAGGACTCTCAGACCTTGAGCTTGAGAAGCAATATCACGTGGTGTGCAGACAAACAAATGAAGAAATATGAGGCAGTCTGCATCACCCCCTTACAGTTAGTACAGTCAAACATGTGATGGTAGCATCAGCAATGCTTTACTGCAACAGGAATGGGAGAAGCAAAAATTAAGCAATCCTGAGTGAAAACCCTTTTCAGAGTGCTTAAAGGCAGTTGTGAATGTTCATATTTCAACAAATCATACTGCCAAGATAACACCAGAGTGTATTTGAAAAAGTCTTGGAGGGTCCTAGCCAGAGTCTGAACCTGAATCTGTTTTGGAAAGTTAGCAGCACTGCTCAGCTAACCTACAATAAAGGCAATAAATCATCATATTTGGGATGAAATGATTTTTTTTTAGGAAGTAAATACTCCTTTTATGACGAAACGTGTTTTATATTTAATTTTGCCAAAATTATATTTTTATAAGTGTCAAATAATACAAGGACTTCATGACTCTTTTGATGAAGACAGCTGGTCATTTTTGAAATATGAAGTTTAATCAGTTTTATGATTTTATATCAGTTAGTGTTTATGAAAGGAGCTCATAACTGCTGGCCTTTGGTTTCTCCACTTTCTTCATATAGTGATGCAAACAAAATCATTCCCAATTTTTGCAGTACCACAGTTAGTCTTATATTAAGTACTTTATATTGGTTTAATTGGTTTATTTACAGAGATAGAGTAGTCCCCTCCGCGTTATATTTATATATTTTTATGAGTAATAAGTGATACCAGAACAGCTTTATCGGTAACTGACAATCCAGTCAAATTTGACCAAAGTGCTCCATAAGAGGCACGACACACACTGCAGGCATGCCCACACGCCTCAACAAATATATCCAAATGATCGTTTAAAAAAAGAGACAATACAGCTGATTCCACATTTTAACATAATAATATATAATGTTTGTTTAGTCCGCAGAATGAAATAATACTTAATCTCTGTATCCGTTTGGAAGCTTTCTAACTGATATTTTTGTGATTACTCGATACTGCCGTCAGCAATGCTCAAATATAAATAAATCATAAAATACCTGACATACTGCGTCTCTTCCGACTACCCGCCTATCCGCGCAAGGCCGGTGTACTCTCGTAAGATTGAAAAAGAAAGGGGGGAAAAAAGGTAGATTCGTGTGAAACTCCCGCAGAAGACGTCATCCAATCAACAGGTCGTTCTATCAAGATTGGCACTTTCCTTGTCCGGTAGAACGTAGAGTTCTGTGTAGGCGTACACCATCAGAGCCAATCAGAACAAAGAAGGCGGGGCAAACAAGCTGCCGTCTGTTCTGGCTGTGGGGCTCTTCCACCACAGAAACCGACTGAGAAAAAAAAAATCACACCACTACGCAAATCCTTCCAATGGAGAAGGGCCAGGATGTTGAAGCTTGTTCGGCGAATGAAAAGATCGTCTGCAAGCTAGCCACCTAGCTCAACTAAGAGGAGAAGAAACAAAAGTTGTGAGTAACGTCGGCTTAACATATAGTGAGGTGAATGAGGGCACGGGAGGTTGCTATCGAATGTAGTTAACGTTGGCTTATGCCAAGTTCCGCGATTAACTTTGCCGTTGAGGTTAGCTCTCCAACTGTGGTACCAAAATCGGCTGCCGTAGCATGCTAAAAGAGGGAGTTTGGCTGCTGTGCTGGGGCGAGTTAATCGCCTGTCTACCTTGCAAGTTTAGCATCGATCAGATTCCTGTTGTCATTACTTTTATCGCTGCCAGCTCGTTAGCTTACATGTTGAACGTTAACTTGTAGTTGACAACTGGCTGCTGCTGCTGCTAGCTAGCCCTTTGCTTAGCAGTACCCTTAGTGGAGTATTAACAGCAGGCTAGTTGCTAACTAAAGGCTACATTGAAGCTTATTCTCCTGTATGTTAGCCACATCAGTCTTTTTTTTATGTACATCTTTAGCATCATCTTTAGCATAGCTTTTCACGTTCATGTCGTGGGAAATAAATTGCTGTGAAACTTGTTTGGTATACTTACCCGCTGTGATCAAAGTAAACACGAGCACAGAGTTAACCAACAGTGTTTAATGCGCTATTTTCTTTTTAAATCTGGGGCATTATTCAGGAAAATAAAGATGCATTATTTTATTACGTTATGACTATGAGTGGCTTAAAGGAAATAATCATATTCAAGCATGGTGCTTCATGTGCATGGGCATAACAATGAGAGAACTTCGAGATTTGCATCTATCATCCCTGCGAGGACTTCATTCCCCTGTTCAGAGTGCATCAAGACCCACAATGAAGCATTTGTTCCTTTTCTGTTGAGACCCAAGCAGTGACACTTGGATACAGGCAGAAAGGAATCTGGTCAGTCTGCTGTCTGGCTGGAGGTGGAGATAGCCAAACTATATAAGAAGAAGAAAAGTCAGTTTGTGTTCGCTCCTTTGCTCAAACAAATTAGGACAGTGATCTGAAGAACAGGAACATTGTTATGCATATTTGCACAGATTGCAAAACATGCAGCATATATAGAATGTATGCTAAAAATCCATGCCAAATCCATGTTCAAAATTCTGCATTCGGTTATGTTTTACACATAGTCTGCACATATGCTGCACAATAACAAGAGCAAACATATAAACAACTGAAACGTCGAGTTGATGACACATTGTTTGTTGTGATAGTTGAATCCCGGTGCATCATACTTCTATCACTGATCCTTGATCTTCCTACAATAAGATTTGTTTTAATTTTTGGATACTAAGGTGTTTCTGCAGCATTAAAAGACTTGGTCAGATATGGGAGGGAAACGGAAGTTTGTTGGGTCTCATTAGTAGTGACTGAACTTTCACATTGGGAAAGACATTGGGAATTGTTCATGGTGCCATTCGGGGGGGTTAAATTTGTCTATAAAAAATACTTGGGCAGCTGTCAGTATACTTTGTGACTCATTTGAGAAACATGGTTGAAAATACAGCCCTATGGTAACTATCAAGGACAACCATCAGTACACTGAGAGTTTGCCAAAAGACACCTTAAGGTCTCTCAGACAGAAAAAAGCAAAACATAGATTGAACTATTTGGACACAAACACCACATTACTTTCTACACAGTTGAACACGGTGGTGGCCACATCATGTTGTGGTGAATTCTGTGACAGCAATGGTACACCATCAGGACTGAAGGAAAGATGAATACAGAAAAATTAAGAGATCCCGAGTAAAAACCTTTTTCCAGAGTGCTGAGCGGCTGAATTAAAGGTTTATATACCAACAAAGTGTATTACCAAGAAAGTACAGGAATAGCTTTGGGTGAAGTATATGAAAGTACTGGAGTGGCAGTAGTAGTAGAAACTGACCACTACTGGATGGTCTTTTGTCTTGTTTACACTAAAAGCAGTTGAGTAAGAGTGAATAATGTCTATTTACTCTTATTTAAACATTTAGTTGCCTGTGAAACATTTAAAAAAAGATCAGATTTTGACTGTAAAAACTTTCCAGACGCAATGCATTGCTGGTTTTACACATGCACTGCTAGCCAAGTAATCTTTTCTAGACATCACCTGATTAAAAAAATAAATGTCCAGCCTAGCTAGATTGGACTTTATCTTGGCTTTAAATTGCCATCTTCCTGTTGCAAAGTGTGTGAGATGTCCGGTTGCGCTAGTCTGCTTGTTAAGTGATGTCATTTCAAGTGAGGTCTTTGCTTGAGAGAAGCACCACCAAAACATTTCATTCTCTACCTATGCAAGTTTTTCTAAGCACTAAATTAGAATATGTTGGCTCCATAGTGTAGTGATTTGCCTCACAAGTGAATGATCCCTGATTCACAGCTAAGGGGAAAGCACAAATCCCTTTGGGGGGGAGGGGGGGGTGTAGCATCAAGAAGAGCATCAGCTGTAAAAATCTGTCAAATCACATTTAGCAAACCAACCTGCTTTGATGACCCCTTGTGAATAAGGGACCATCCAAAAGTTTTTTTTACATAAGTCAGATTATGGTCTTTCAGCAATCGATGTCGACTACTTAGACAATTTGCTACTAACTTCTGATTCCACTAAATGCCATTTTTCATAGATGCCCTGACAGCTGCACTAGATTATTTTTAACTCTCAATGGGAACTCAAGGAGCATAAAGACATCACACTTAACAAGCGGATTGTCTGATGCATTTACCTCCAGTGAGTGGTCATCATATTCACTCCTACGTACTCTGTTCAGGCACCTTCACCTAACCCACATACAGTATTTCCACTGAACGCATCTAAAATAGACTACCTTCTGCTGTGTGTCAGAAAAGGCATAAAATACCCCTGTCTAAATTCTCCTGAATTTGTTTAATCTTTATTAAGAGTTTTGTGAGTTCAAGTTAAGAAATGATACCAAAAATAGTGTTATCTAATGTCTTTGCTTCTACTGCAGTATAATGGCTGTTAAGTACTGCACTGCAGCTAAGGTGAACTTGTTATAAAGTCACACATCACTTACTTTAAATGTTGTAAACACAACCCTTTGTAGTGATGTACTGACACTGGCCTGCTAGACTGTGGGTCTTTGCAACTGACTTACAGCTCTTCTGCCCCTGCCCCAAAATCTACCAGGATAAGCCTCTGATGGCAGTACAGATGTGTACCAACTAGGGGGAATCCCCCTAGATTGCAGATCACCATCTCTCTGTGATTATCTGGGACATAATTCCAGTGAATTAGTGTGTTTGCTTTAATCTGGAAAGACGTTAATGGCATTAAAGAGTATGTGGATGAAAAACCAAGCTCTGTGAAATGCCCCAACAGTGGGCTCTCAGTAAGCTGCCCCCTGCAAGGATTAACTGTTAAATAAACATTTTAGTGGAGTGTATAAAAATCTTATGCAGCATAAAACATTTGATGTGTCTTATTGACCGAAGTCATTCATAGTTTTTGGGTTTGTTTGCTGTGTATTTGCTGTGCAGTAGTGGTCAGGTGCTACCATATTTGGGTGTTCTGTTTCTGCTTATTTTAATACTTGAAGCTTTTTTTTTTTCTTGGTTTATTATCTATACCCATCTCTCATGGCTGTCATGTTGGCACCTGGATATGGGCTTTGAATTGCACAAACATCTTGCTTAGCTAGGTTATTTTCTTAAGCACAAGCTTTGATATCCTTTGACCTAGTAGTCGGTTGGTTTTATATTATCACCTTCAATATCAATTTCGGACACGACTCCAAAGTTCATGTGATGTGTGCATAGCATATAATATACCACGTGTCATTTATTTGGTGCAGTAATGACGGGTAGACATCTTATCTAAACATAGGTTTGATCCAGGTGTCTCTGTGTTTGTATTTGCACAAAGCTAAATCATTAACTGGACAAGTGAGGAAAGAAGATTCTAAGGAACAGACACAAATTTGGTTTAACTCCTTGCTGTTCAGTTAACCATTTCCCCTAGTGTGTGTGTTTGCTGAGATCTAGGCCTGTTCTGTTATGGCAAAAACAAATATTATCAGTTGTTTGGGTCACTCTTATGAACATTGAAATTATTTACAATTATTTAAAAATGGAGTTAAAAATTGATGTATTAAACTGAAAAACGACAAAAGTTCACTTTGTAATTAATTATCCTTAAACTCTAATCATAAATCAACTGGAAAAACTAAAGAAAGCAGTGTGAAGTAAAGGAAAGAGATGTGCTGAAAGGTACAATGACAATTGGAATTGCACAACCCTACTACTAGGACCTGTCTTTGGTCACATTCTAATGCATTGAGCATTAACTCCAATGCAAATTATATTTCCAGAGTGCTTAACATTGAACAGCACCGCTGTTTTCTTTCATTCTGTTGGTGGGAAAGTCACACACCACAACGAAGGCTTCCTGTGAAACTGTGAAGATAAGAATATTCATGAGTCTGTAACGAAAAAAAAAGTTGACAGATAGGTAGTTTTAATGTTGGTGATAATGGGTAAGGAACATTAGAAGACACTGGGAGGATTAGTTACAGTAAGTTGTTTGTTTGTTTTCATTTATAGCTACTAGTAGTTGTGTAGCTGTTTTGAAACTAGCAGTCTGTCACCATTTGTCGCACTTTCATAAAGTTAACTTCCAAAAGCCTCTTCTTTTTCATTGTGCTTTCTGATAAATGCATAGTATTACATACTCTGAGTTAGGGATACATTTTATTGATTGTGTTGGAAGACTTGGCATAATGTAGTGCACAATGTGGACTGAGTCTAGCTAGAAATAACCTATAATTGAGCCCTGCTGAGCAAGATTATCCTTGGCTTTGGGAAAGAGGGTTTGGAGCATAATTGATGTTTGGGTCTGCCTTCGCCAAAGAAACCACCCTGTCTTTGCCCTCAAGTCGGCCTCAGCTAAGTTCTTAGCATTTCCTCTGTGTTTAGATCAGTTGACTCTACTTTAATGCCTCATATTTTCTGCCTATGAATGTAATCCAGAGCGAGATTAAGATAAGAGGAATATCTGCTGAATCTTTCAAAAAAGGTGTGTGTTTGCACACTTC